CAAACTTGCGTGGCTGGCGCACATTGAGAGCCGAACTCGATTGAGCAAGGGCTCTCAATTATTGTCACGAGCTGCCGACAACATTTCCTGCTGACTGCAGATGGGGAGAAACAGACAGAGAGAGAGAGAGAGAGAGAGTGAGGAGAGGGAGAGCGGCGAGGGAGCGGAAACGGGAGACACAGTCAGACTTACCATGGCTCAATTAACTGCTCAACATGTGGGCGTGCCCATTTGCAGTTCCAGTTCCAGTTCCAGCTCTAGTTCTAGTTGATAAATCAATGGGTCGTTGTCGTGTCATCGGGCACTTAGGCCTGCGTCTGCCTGGGTTTTTATTTGTTTAGCCGCGGAAGTACTTAACAGTCGAATGCGGAGCGCTCTTCACATGCTATGCCCAGTGCTTCTTCTAGTGTTTTTCCCTTGTAATTGTNAAAAAAAAAAAAAAAAAATGTTGTAATTTAAATACTAATTTTTTTAAGATAAAAAATAGAAGTATTTTCCACATATAGAACCATATTTTCATTAGATTTAGTTTATGGCAAATTAATTAATATAATTATACAGGGATTCGATTTACGTTTTTGGTTCTGTGTAAAAAAAATAATCGACCTCAAATGAAGATCGTTCACATGTACATATATAATATTTTTCTTTGATATATCATTTCTCTACCCATCAGCGAGCTCTTCAGTTCTGACTCTTGACTTTTACACAGAATTCTGTGGCTGGTTTTTCGGCTAATTTTTGTTGGTTTTATTGTTTCCATTGTTCGCTGCGTCTGTTGTTTGTTCTGCTTTAGCTGTTGCTGCTGCCTTTTGTTGTACAACGCACATTTAATTGGGGGGCATTTCTGTTTAAATGTTTTGGTAATGCCTGGCCTTGTGCTGCTGCTATTAGAACGAGTTTGAAGCACTTTGTGCGAAATTATTCAAATTACGCGGCAAATGCGCTGCTGATCAGTCCGCAAATGAAGGCTTTATCGCACCGGATTGGGGGGCAGCTACAACATTTAAGCCTCCCCACACATGTTCGAAGTATAATCAGATTTTGATTACTATGGCAGCCACAGCAGCAACAGCAGCAGCAGCAGCAGCATCGGAATTATGCCAAAAGCCCAACACTCCAGCCACAAACTAAACCAAAGCAGTGTGTGAGTGTGTCTCGAGTGTGTGTAGACGAGCCTGACAGCTTCTGACGAGTTGACCGGCGGCTGCAATGGCTGGACTGTGGCCAAGACATTTTCTCCATATATAAATATATATAGACTGCGTGATACCCTGGCTCACTGTCACATAGCAGCTGTCTAGCTGCATTCTTATATGCTCGCATTGGTTTCGCTTGTGCTGGGCATCAAAAGCAGCCCTGCAGCTTTATGTAGCGCGGCAATAAAAACGAAAGACTTAGGCAACGAACGCGCTCCACTTCCATAGTAATTATGCGTCAATTGTTTAGTGCGGCCTGGACATGCCAGCCAGGCGTCGCATTTGGCTCAGGCTCGGCCATGCCAACGACATGCTAGCCCACTTTCCTCGGTAGTCTATGCAGACAGCAATTTAATTTCCATTTTGCATTCTTTTCGCTCGATTGTATTGCAGGCGCACACAAGGTACACTGCTCCGAGGATCAGATGCGCGTCGAGATTGGCTTGCCCGCGGAGACGAATGCCAGTGCGCCAGCGGATCGTACGCAAATCTACTTGGAGGGTCTCAAGGGCTATCCGGATGTGCGCTGTCAGCCCGCAATCGATGGCGCTTTGGCCGTCTTTCGCCTCTCGCTCAGCGACTTTTACGAGTGCGGCGTGACGCGAATGGTCAACCAGTTAACGGTATGTGAATGCTATGAAGAGATGAGAGAGAGGGCGGGCAGAGAGAAAAATAGAAAAGAGAGAGAGAGAGACAAGAGACATTGATGAGATAGAGATTAAGTATAGATTAAGAAGAGATAGATAAGAGATAGACGTAGAGAGAAAGAGACAGAGAGAGAGAGCATGTGAGAGACATAGAAGATACTGAGAATATATAGAGAAGAAATCGCGAAATTGAAGAAGTAGAGAAGACATGGAAAAGAAAAACAGAAGAGGCTGAGATGAAAGAGAAGGCAATAAGATACTGAATAGAGACAGAGAAGAGATATTAAAATAAATTAAAGAGAGAGTAAAGAAAGCCAGAAGAGATAGGAATAAACAAAAAAATAAAGAGTGAAGAGAATAGAGTAGAGACAGAGAATATATAGAGATGAGGCAGAGAAAATACGAAGAGACAGAAAAGAAAGTGAAACCTTATAAAGAAGAGACCAAGATGATATATGATATACAGAGAAGTATATGGCATATTTGGTGAAAAAGAGATCTGAGGACTAGAATAAGAAAAAGTCGAAGAGTAAACAGCAGCGAAAATGAGAGAAGAAAAGAGAACACAAAAGAAAAGTAAGGAAATGAAAAGAGAAAACAAGAGCAGAGCATAGAAGAAAAGAGAAATGCGCTGATCATAGCTGATCAGAGGAGCGAACCCAACGACTGCAGACTGTTTTATCTGCTGTTTTGTCACCACAGGGCAAGAAGGTGTATTACCATAAAATCATCATTGAATCGGCCAGCAGCAAGGAGATTGTCAGCGTCAAGTGCATTACCACAAGCGGTCCGGTTTACAACGTCATGATGAATGGCACCAATGCCGCACGGGAGCAGACGCAAGTTGTGCTCCAGGAGCAGCAGCCATCTTCGCATCATGGTCTGGTCAGACGTGATGTGCTGCCGGCGGGCTTTCAGGAACCAGAGTAAGTTTTTGGCCAAGTCAGGCGCATCTTTTAATTGCCCCATCAAAATGCAACGTCCTCAAATTGCAACTATGCATATAGTTAGTTCTTTTTTTCTGTTCGTACGTATTTTATGCGCAATCTATGCATACGTTATGGCATATTAGGAGGAGACCCAACCCTACGCCAAGGCTGTGTGGTCATAAATCAAGCGACTTGGCTGTTCGAGCTATTACCAGCCGGTAATTGGCCATCAAATCAATGCCCCCGCTAATGCAGCCAGCTCGCCTCCCCTCGGTTAGTCAATTTAATTGCTGGGCGTGCCAGTTGGACAAACGGACTTAATGATACAGAGTGCGAAGGTAGAGAGATAGAGAGAGAGGGAGGGAGAGGGAGAGAGAGAGGAGGCATTACAATGTTTGCTTTGTTGATTTACGTGCCTTGGTGTCCTTCAATTGCTTCTTCTTTTTTGTACAGCTGCGGCATATATTTAATGGGCGTCGCCACGCCCAGACCCTCAATTACGACAGCTCTTTTTATTACGCGTCTATTTTTTCCTTCTTATTATTATTTATTCATATGCTCTGCAGAGATCTGGAGATAACCACCTCGTTGACAAAACGCGCACCGGAGCCGCGGCTCTCCATTGGCGTCAGCCAGGATGGACAGAAGTTTACACAAGACTTGACTGTTAAGTCGGTAGGTAGATATACTTATATATATATATACACACACACACACACACACACACACATGTGTACATGTTTCATCTATTTATGCTCACTAATATGCTCGCAGGGCACACCATTGACCATGGAAATCAACTTGGATGAGGACTCGGCGCCGGTTTATGGCCTGGGCGTCAATTATTTGGATGTTACAGACACGCACACCTCCTCCGAGACGCTGATCTTCAAGGGGTGCGTACGAACAACAACAACAACAGCAACAACAGCAACAGCATCAATTATCCCTAACTAGTTTGTGTGTTAATCTTTTGACTAATCTTTCTGTTGCAGCTGCACTGTGGATCCGTATCTCTTTGAGAACTTCAACACCATCGATGGGGATATATTGAGCGCCAAGTTCAAGGCCTTCAAGTTTCCCGATTCTTCCTATGTGCAGTTCCGCGCCACAGTCAACGTTTGCCTGGACAAGTGCCTGGGCACCCAGTGCTCGAACAATCAGGTGGGCTTTGGCCGGCGCAAGCGTGAGATTAGCGCTGCGAATAAGGTCTATGAGATCTCATTGGCCATGTTCCTGCGGGTCAATGACAACGAGGGCATTAACAAGAGTACGTTTTTAAGACAGCTGTAAAAATTTGTTGATTTTGCCTTTTACTAATTGCTGCATTTCTCTTGTCAGATGAGGTGCTGCAGCTGGAGGAGAAGCTGCGCGAGCTGAAGTTGGCCAATCAGCGCTTGGCGCGCAATAGTCGAGGTAACTTTGCAGAGCTGAGCCGCAGCATGGAGCAGACGCCCGCCAGCAGCGCAGTGCCCGCCTTCGTGGTGGATGAGCGAGAGCTGGGACAGCTCAGCTCGGCTGCTGTCCAGCCTGTCATGTTCAGCCTTTGGGCGCTGGTCGTTGCGCTATGTTGGCGCCTCATGTAAATAGTCGCGAGAATATGTATGGCAAAGTGTATATCTCAAAAAGGAGGGCGTTCTGGTTGTTAATCAGGTCCAAGCTGCGTGTGTGTGTATGGCAATAATAATAATAATAATTAAAAGATAAAAGCAAAAATAACAAATACGAAAGAGAAAACAAACAATATATATGTACTACCTATTACTAATAGATACTTATGTAACTGCCATTTATAAAACGTAATTACAAATAATTTTAATGTGAGCAGAACCTAAGGAAACCAACAACAACGGCAACAACTTAAACAACAGCTACAACAAACAGTGATTCTTATAAACATTTCGATTAAAACATATTAAATTGGTCTTACAAATAAGCACCTACTAGTCTTATAAGTGTAACTGTTAAGCTAATTTAATTAATGACTAAAACTAAATGAATTAATAAAATTAAACAATCCAATTTGTGTGTAGTTTTGTATATAACAGAAGAATGCACGTTTAAATTACGCGCGTAGTAGCTTAACATACCACTGTTATGCGTACAGTGCCATTTTGAGTACGAATAACAGCTACAGTGCTGCTAAACATTGTAGAGCAAAACAGCTGATAGTTAAAGTGTGACCGGCTCTGTGCTCATTTAGAATACCACAAGCACATCTAACAACAAAACCGTTTTTATAATTAGGTGGAAGAAGCAACGTGTGCGTTTTCGTTTGGTTTACGCTATTGTAACGCTTTTGCCAGGCTGGCGCATTGTGCGAAAGAACAACAGAGTTGGCAGTTAAACAAGGCGCTGGTGCGTAACGCGCGATCCAATTGATAAATGTAGTAACATCGCTAGCCACCACTACCCGCCCCCAGCAGCCGTCGATGCAGCATCAACCGTGCAAAATTTTGCCGCTGCAAGGGCTGCTTTTGCCCAACGCATCGACGACAGCATTGCGAACAACAACAAAGCTTCCACACCCACCGATATATTCAGCACGCAATAGATGAGCGCACCTGGCGCTTCATATAAACAATTTCTATTTTCACGTAACAGACGACCAGAGCCAGCCACAGCGAACAGATGCTACGCGACTAGCTGGAAAGAGAAACGAAAGAGAATTAGTAACGGAAACAGCAACAACCACACTTAATGACCACCTAATCTCACACACCCACACATAAACACAGACGTTGCAAAATGCGTACACGTAAGGTACAAATTTTGGTTATTGGCGTCCTCATCCTATGGACATTCGTTACGTACTACATATTGCTGCACAACAGCAGTGTCCAATCGGATACGAAGCAGAAGGAGCAGCAGCAGCTGAAGCAGCTSTTCCCGAAAGCATTACTGGAGCAATCGAAGAGTTTGAAAATAAGTGATACGCTTGTGAGTTTTCTCAAATTGAGATACATGAATCAGGAGACGAGCACCACGCCGAAAATAACAATTGTTGCCGCTGAAATATCAAACGAACTGCAGGAGCAGCAGCTGAAGACAACGGCCACAACATCAGCGCAAATACCAACAAAAACATATCTGGCAAATGGAGAGCCTGTCATTCCCATTCTGGTATTTGCCTGCAATCGCATTTCGGTGGTCAAGTGTCTGGAGAATCTTGTGCAATATCGACCCAGCGTCGAGCAATTTCCCATCATCGTATCGCAGGTAAATCTCTGACATTCAATAGCCGCATACAATATCTAATGTACCTCTCCGTTGCAGGACTGCGGCGATGAGTTGACCAAACAAGCCATTCAATCCTTTGGCAATCAACTAACGCTCATCGAACAGCCCGACCAAAGCGATATTATGGTCCTGCCCAAGGAAAAGAAATTTAAGGGCTACTATAAGATAGCACGCCACTATGGCTGGGCTCTGAACACCACCTTTCATGTAGGATTCGAATATGTAGTCATTGTGGAGGATGATTTGAATGTGGCACCAGATTTCTTTGAATACTTTTTGGCCACACACAAGCTGCTCAAGCAGGACAAGAGTCTTTGGTGCGTCTCCGCATGGAATGACAATGGTAAGGCAAATGTGGTGGATATCGGCAGCCCAGAGCTGCTCTACCGCACCGATTTCTTTCCCGGCTTGGGCTGGATGCTAACCAAGGATCTGTGGAGCGAACTCTCAGTCAAGTGGCCCAAGTCGTATGTATAAAGTGAAGTATATTCTATGTAATATTGTTAATCATTTATATTTTAAAGATTCTGGGATGATTGGATACGACATCCAGAGCAGCGCAAGGATCGTGTTTGCATTCGACCAGAAATCTCAAGAACACGTACTTTCGGCAAAATTGGTGTTTCCAAGTAAGTGCCTGATTTTGGCTACTAATGTAATTTCTATAAATCTTATAAATTCTTCTTTCAGCGGTTTGTTCTTCGACAAGTATTTAAAGCATATTAAGCTGAGCGAGCACTTTGTGCACTTCACGAAAATGAATTTGAGTTACTTACTTAAGGTGCGTATTACTTATGTCTTTATATTGCTGTGCTTTTCACTTATGTATATTTGCTGTTTTAGGATAACTATGATAATACGTTCTTGAAGCAAGTGTACGTGTTGCCCTTGGTTACCTTTGACGAGCTGCGTCGGAATCTTATTGCCAAGGAGGGCCCTGTGCGCATTCAGTACAACAATCGCGATCAATACAAACGCATCACTCGAATGTTGGGCCTCATGGATGACTTCAGGGTGAGCTTGACGCTAATGTTGTTGACATCAATATGTTGAAACATTTATCTTATCTAATTGATAGAGTGGAGTGCCACGCACAGCATACCATGGCATCGTGTCGTTCTACTATAACAAGCGACGTGTGCATTTAGCGCCAAGTGCCAACTGGAAAGGTTACGACTTATCATGGAGCTAACATCACTAAATTAGTTATCTATTAGCTAGAGTCTAAGCAACAGCTCAATGCAACCCGTAACGAATCAAAATGTTTGGTTAAAAAAACAATGTTTGCAATACCAAAAAATATTACTAATAGTTTATATATACATACTATTAAAATTATATATTTCTCATGACATAGCTTAGTCGTAAGTGTAAAATTGAATGAAACTTTCGCAACCAGTCCTAAAACAGTGCACTGCAGTGTAAGAACAGACTAGAACAGTTTCTATATACATATATGTATGTATATTAATTTGTAATACCTGTGAAGCGAGGCAGCTCCAATCGTGTGTTGAGTCACAGACCGCAACTCCCCCCTCCTAAAGATATGTAACCGAAGCAATAGTAAGCAACGACCAGAGGCATGTTGGAAAGTATTAGATATTATATATATATATGTAAATAGTCAGAGCTGTCGCTGACTTTGTTGCAATGATAATTCTGTTAATTCGCGTTAATTTACTGTACAAATAGACCTTTAGTTGTTAAGTTCACTAAACTCAACTCCAACTCCAGACCGAGCTCGACATTAAGCATAAGTTGTATGTGATTTTGTTTTATATAATTGTAATTTGTATTTGAATGAACGAAAGAGAAGAAAGAGAGAGAGAGAGAGAGAGAGAGAGCAGCCAACAAACAACCAACCCACTTGTAACATAGCATAGCCATAGTTAAAGTTAACTCTTAAGCATTTCTGATGACTGGCACACAAACACACTCACTCACGCAGAGACTCCAGTGAATCAACACAGACTCGATTGCCATCAGCCCCTTGTGTGCCACGGTCATATAGTGATAGCGACCCCAACCTACAGACAACACATGACAACAACAACAACAACAACACATAACATCAATATGACTTTAGGTATTTATATGAGCATATTTTTTGCGTGTGATGCATATAAAACATAAAACTGTAATAATAACTAATAACTAGTTTCATTATATTTATATATATAAATTGATTGGGCTACTCCACAGCATCCTCATCTTCGTCCAGCTGCTCGCAGTCAATGTCGCTGCACTCGGACTCGGACTGCGTGCCACATCGACTACGTTGCGCCTGCGCCAGTGCCTCGTGTCCAAAGCCGCAGGAGATGCTGTTGCTGTTGCTGTTGCCGTTGCCATTGCTATTGCTGCTGTTGCTGCTGTTGGCAGCTGGCAGGCCCTTGTGCAGCAGCAAATTGGCATTGGCATCGCCGAAGACACGCTCCAGTTCGGCCAGGCCATTGCTGGCGCTCGGTTCCGTTTCCGGCGGCAGCGTGGCATACTTCAGCTGCAGATAGGACTCGCTGTGGCCGTGCGGCTGATAGTCAACGAAGCTGCTTGGATAGGGCTTGCAGCGTGGCACGTAGCCAGCTGCTGTGGCAGCTGCTCCGCTCGTCGCCTGTGGCTTGGCCAGCCCGAAGGGCAGCGCAAAGTTCAGCGGTTGGCCACGCGACAAGATGGCATTCCGGGCACTCTCCATGACGCTGGAGGCGTGCAGCGGCGTCAGACCGGGTGCACTGGCTGGTGGTCCGTAGGAGCGCATGGGCGGGGCTGCTCCACTGCCATTCAGCATGATGGACTGTATGGGCGTGGGCCCGGCAGGTGTTTGGCTAAACAGCCAGAGGCGATCGCCCACCACCATGGGGCGTGCCATGCCGCCCATGCCCAGCTGTGAATAGTAGTGGGATGCAAGAGTTTCCACATCCGAGGTGTATTTTCTCTTCCACTTGGTGCGTCGATTCTGAAACCAAATTTTAATCTAAAAAAGAAAATAAATAAAATTAATAATCATATTAGCCAATAGTTTCAGTTTGGCTAAGTGCACCTGCGTCTCGGTCAGCTGCAGCTGCTTGGCCAGCGCCGTTCGCTTCGCCACGGACAAATATTTGCCCCGCTCGAATTCCGTTTCCAGCGCCTTGATCTGTGCAGCGGAGAAGGCAGTGCGTGGACGCTTCTTGCGATCATCGTGCGCTGCAATCGAGAAAGGAATTTCAGTTGGAATCTCAATTGCCATCGCCTGCCAAACAATTTGCGACTAATTCGAATTAGCTGATTGCCTGTTCAATCCAATTAGATACCAATTGGCATTGCGATGGCACCCTGTATGCAAAACACTTTTAATTGGCAACATTTCATTTTGATTGTGGTCAGTGCATCTAATTGGCCATTTGGCAGACAAATTTACCCCCGCCCCTCCCCACCTGATTGCTAACAAATTGTCATATAAATTCACTGTGACATTCAGTCGGAAAATGAGATAAGCTAAAATGTTGCCAATGGCGCAGCTTTTCCGCCCAACATTCTGCATCATTAGCGGGCGGCGCATTTGTGACGCCCCTCGGAAAAGATAAGGTCTTGGATTATTTGTATGTGGATCGTGCAAATGACAGACGAGATCAGTCAACCGAGACATATTAGAGACTAATGCCATATTATAAATATTCCAACAATTAATCATAGATGACTGAAGAGAGGGAGGGAGGTAGAGTGAAGAGATATGAGGTGAATGCACAAATAAATTATTAAAAATAAGTTTTGATGTTGTTAACCTATTTGATATAAAAGTAATTTTTTTTAAATGGTTTATATTGTTGTCTACAATGCTTCAGACAGCTACAATCATATTTCTAAAAAAAAAAATATCGAAATCTTATTGGACTTATTGGACAACTTATATTTATGCAAAAATTTGTCTGTAATATCTTCATATTATATATTGAGAATTGAAGTTCACCTAGTAGATGTCTCTTGAATAGAGACTTCGGCTATTATCTCTCTCTATTCGTACTCTCAACGCATCGACTTCGTTTTGCTAATGTTCGTACTTTGAACATAATTAGAATAACATTGGAATAGTACAGCTGCTACAGATAATGACGAACAGCCCATTAAACACAGTTTCGTGATCGTGTTCAACTAAGCTTTGACTAAACTAAATATTTAATTCGTTGAACTAATTTACATTTAACATGCACTTGGCAGTTCAACAAGGAGTGCTTAATAATTTTAATCATTCGCTTAGCTATTATAGTCAGTCCGTGGTTTTTGAAAAAAAAAACCTAATTTAATTTTGAAGCAATGTTGTTCATTTATTTATTTTGTTTTATTAATTTTTTATTTATTTATTTATTTATTTTTATATTTTTGCAATTAAATGAAAGCTTCTAAATTTGTAAAATCAAGCATAGCTCGTTCTACAGTCGATAGTAAATGTAAAATAGCATATAATTATAAACTATGTGTTAATTATGTGATATGCTGATGTATATTCTGCTTTAAAAATGCATTAAATTGTTTGCATTTATGAGAATTAGCTCATCATAGAAAAGTTTTTATTTGATTGGAAGTTAGATGAAGAATTTCCGTTCTACTGTTTTTTTTTTTTTTTTTTTTTTTTTTTTTTTTTTTTTTTTTTTTTTTTTGTGCCCAACTACCAGACTGCCTAAAAATTCGATAAATTATATAACAAATGCTACCAAACTTTCTGTTTTTTATTCAAAAACCCGGATTCTGGTTTTATGATATTTGTGTAATGCTTCTATATATCTATATAGGTACTCCCGGCAATATCCCGCCCTCTTACTAAAAAGCAAAATATTAATGAATATATATGAATATATCTACCCACCACTGCCATCGTCCGACGCTAGTTCGATATCACTTTTGTTGTCGTCCGGGCCATCCTCCAGGCAGCTCGATGTGGCGGGACTCGAGACACGCGAATCATCACAACTGCCACGCCCACTTGCATGAGATTGAGCCTCATGGATCACTTGATAGCTAGCTGCTTCATCAGCATAGTTTCGGGGCAAATGCGATTCGGGCTTGGCCAGAATTTGCTCGATCGAAAAACTGTGCGGATGGCGACGCACCACAGATTGAGCATTCATCGTAGACACTTGGACGTAGATCGGCGCGATACGGATCTACAGAGATGATCACGGTCTAGATCGGAAGCAGAGACAACAGTGCGCGACGACTTGCTACGAAAAACTAATTTGAATTTCGAATATGCAACATATCCTGCGTATTATAGAACTCAGAACAGAAAATTGTGGGCGGGGCCTGTGGCTATATAGCGCGCTCTTTTCATTCGCCCGATGTGTGATCTGTGTGCTATAGGAGAGAAAGGGAAAGCAACTCAAAGATGAAGACGAAGACGTCACACACACACACATACACACGCACACACATGTGTTTATTTATAAAACATGTGTGAAATTGTCGCAGCCTCTCGCTGTGCCAGGGGCGTGTCCACTTAATGTGTATCTCTGACTGATATATGCGTGTCTCGCCTAAATATTATTTACTGGGTTCTTAGTCTGATCGCCGATGATTAAAAGTCATAATTTTTGGCTAATTGTTAACAAGTCGAGCTATTTAATATTTCGATTGCTTTGCTAAATATACTTAATAAGTTAGCCACCATAATTCATCGGCAAGTGCGTATTACCATGTGGATGTGTGAGTAAGTGTGCCTGTGCGTGTGTAGGCGTGAGCGTGTGTCGAGTTGTTGCTTACAGTCTAAAGATGAATGTACTCATCAATTTTTGCTTATTTCAAGTATGCGAATTCAATTTTCTTGAAGTTGAAATTGATTTGCAGTAAAATTCTTGAATTACTCTGAAATAATCTGTGCTTTATATATCCATATTTTTTTTATTTAAAAATTATTTTATGTAACTCTTATAGGAGGATGATTCTAAAGAGATTAGTAAGTATATTTTTATTAAAATTGGTATGGTTGAATTTTTTTTAAAGAAAAATGTAAAAATTTTAAGAAAATTTTCCACATATTTAAGAGCATAACTTCTGCTAAAAAATTGAATTTGATTCATAATATATAATATATATATAATAGTAGTAGGCAGTAGTAGTATTTTATTTAGTCGATTTTAATATTAAACATTTTCAGG